TAGCGGTCTGCCTCAATATCTAGTGGAACGCCTGCTCCCACCAAGATCTGCCCGAATCACTCATTCTAGTCAAGACGGGCGGGTGAGGGGCCTGACGCCGAGGGAGACCTGGAGAGAAAGAACAAGAAAGTGGGCCTTCTCAGCAGTGGACCCTTGTCTCTGGAAGAGTCTGCCCTCAGAAATTTGTCTAACTCCCTCGCCAGGTGTTTTTAAGAACAAACTTAAGACCTGGCTCTTTAGGCAGGCCTTCCATCCCATCATCACTTAATTGATTGTCGGGATCTGCAAGATAATTTCCTGAATACACAGCCAGAATAACTAGAGTGCTGGTAAACAGAGACAGCTAATTTCCTTGAATACAAAGGCATCAGTAAACAGAGTGGTTGGTAAACAGACAGTTAATAGTAAACAGACACAGCTAACTCCAAATATAGACAATGTAAACATTCCTGAGGTATACACTTCAACTACATTACCCAGAGACAATAGACAGCAGGTTAATGATCATCCTTACTGGAAACTAGTGACTTGCAGTTTTAGCATGAGGCCTGCCATTGTCATAGATATACATTTGCTACTGCCACAGACATATACATTGTAACAGCATAACAGCATAAATTTTCCCCACAATTGATTTCTTGCCATCTTCAATTATACAGTGGTGCCTTGCTTAACGAGTGCACCGTATAACGACGAATCCGCATAGCGATCCCTTTTTCGGGACCGCTAATGCGGAGGCATAGCGTCGGCCCCAATGGGCAAAACTCGCATCGCGAAGATTAGCAAGCGTTTCGCTTACCAATGCATAACAGCATAAATTTTCCCCACAATTGATTTCTTGCCATCTTCAATTATACAGTGGTGCCTTGCTTAACGAGTGCACCGTATAACGACGAATCCGCATAGCGATCCCTTTTTCGGGACCGCTAATGCGGAGGCATAGCGTCGGCCCCAATGGGCAAAACTCGCATCGCGAAGATTAGCAAGCGTTTCGCTTACCAATCTTCGCTTTGCGACGCCCGCGGATCAGCTGTTTGGTGGTTCCGAAATGGCCGCCGGACGACAGAAATGGACGCATGCAGCATTTTCGCGCCCTCCCCTCGCTTACCAAGGGTGCGAAAATGGTTGACGGACCCTGGAAACATCGCTGAACTGTGAGTTTTGTGCCCATTTGGAACGCATTAAACGATGTTTAATGTGTTCCATTGGGCTTCCCCGTTCTGTTTAGCGATGTTTTCACATAACGAAGGTTAATCCGGAACGGATTAGCCTCGCTATGCGGGGCACCTCTGTATTAATGCTGATGTTTTATTGCATAGTGTTATTATTTCTGGATTGCTGTTAGCTGCCCAAAGTAGATTTCGGTCTAGATGGGAGGGGTATACATTAAATAAATAAATAAAATAAATGAGGAAAGCCTCAGACCATCTGCAGTGTTTTGGCCAAAATTTGGGGCATTTGAAGCTTGGACCTTTAATGATATCTGAATGCCTACAGTATGTAAGGGGGAAAGTTCAGTAACGCAAGAAGAGGTGAACTATGCATCTTGTTAGATATGGGGTAATTTTGTCTCTATGAACCATCTAAAATGAGAAGAAAAAGAAGAGAAAATACATTAGATAAACCACGCCCCATATATTACCCCTATACTTAATTCACCCCTTGCCCCACTCGTGGTGGGTATGAGTCCTTTTGTACTGAACTAGTCCCCAACCCTCTCCCTTAACTGCCCACAGTAGTGTCGTCACTGAATACCAAATATGATACCAGCTCCAGGTAAAAAGGCTACCTTGGTCAGTAATATCAGCCCTGTAAGAAGTAAACAAATGATTCAGAAACTCTTGCCCAAACACTTCCTACCTCTGTACTTCACTTCAGTAAAAATTATCACTTTGATGTACACTATGTTGTTTGGCACATGCATCCATGTGATTCTGTCATTATTCTAAGTTCTTGGGTGAGCATTCCTTGGAACTGCCCTTCTTTGGGGTTGGGATGTAGACTGATCTTCTCTAATCCTCTGGCCAAACTTTCTGGCATATTGAGTGTAGCACATTAACAGTGTCATCTTTTAAGATTTTAAATAGTTCAACTGGAATGCCATCACCTCCACTGTCCTTTTTGTTAGCCAGGCTTTCTAAGGCCCACTTGACTTAACTCTCCAGGATGTCTGGCTCAAGGTGAGCAGCTACACTATCTGAGGTGTCCGGGACATCTAAATCTAGATTTTTCTGGTATAATTCCTCTGTATATTCTTGCCACCTCTTCTTGATGTCTTCTGCTTTTGTAAGGTCCCTACCATTTTTGTCCTTTATTATGTCCATCTTTGCACGAAATGTTCCTTTAAGATCTCCAATTTTCTTTAACAGATCTCTGGTTTCTCCCTTTCTATTATTTTCCTCTATATCTTTGCATTGTTCATTTAAGAAGGCTCTCTTGTCTCTCCTTGCTATTCTTTGGAAGTCCGCATTCAATATTCTTTAACTTTCCCTATCTCCCTTGCCTTTAGTTTCCCTTCTCTTCATCCATAGTTCTTCAGGCACTCTGTCCACCAAATCTAGTTCCTTAAATCTGTTCTTCACTTCCACTGTGTATTTAAAAGGGATTCGGTTTAGATTGTACCTGACTAGCCCAATGGTTTTTCCTATTTTCTTCTGTGTAAGTTTGAATTTTGCTACAAGAAGCTGATAATCAGAGCCACAATCGGCTTCAGGTCTTGTTTTTGCTGACTGTATAGAGCTTTTCCATCTTTGGCTGCAGAAAACATAATCTGATTTCAATATTGCCCATCTAGTGATGCCTCTTGTGTTGTTGGAAAAGAGTATTTGTGATGACCAGCTTGTTCTCTTGACAAAATTCTATTAGCCTTTGCCCTGCTTCGTTTTGAACTCCAAGGCCAAACTTCCCTGTTGTTCCTTTTACCTCTCAACTCCCTACTTTAGCATTCCAGTTCCCTAGAATGAGAAGAACATCTTTCTTTGGGGTCAGTTCTAGAAGGTGTTGTAAGTCTTCATAGAATTGGTCAATTTCAGTCTCCTCAGCATTGGTGGTTGGTGCATAAACTTGGATGACAGTGATGTTGAAAGGTCTGCCTTGGATTTGTATTGAAATCATTCTGTAATTTTTGAGATTATATCCCATTACAGCTTTTCCCACTCTTTTGTTGATTACGAGGGCTACTCCATTTCTTCTATGGGATTCTTGCCCACAATAGTAGACATGATAATCGTCTGAATTGAATTCGCCCATTCCCCTCCATTTTAGTTCACTGACGCCCAGTATGTCAATGTTTATTTTTGATATCTCCTGTTTGACCACCTCCAGCTTCCCAAGGTTCATAGATCTTACATTCCAGGTTCCTATGCAGTATTTTTCTTTCTAGCATCGGACTTTCCTTTCCCTTTCAGGCGCGTCCCCTACTGAGCGTCCTTTCGGCTTTGGCCCAACCACTTCATTAGCTCTGGAGCTACTTGTACTTGTCCTCCGCTCTTCCTCAGTAAC